ATGAAGTAAAACTTTTAATATTGTATGAGTAGGCAATTAAGAAAAAAATAAAAAAACATCATATTTGAATTTTAAAAATCATTTATTAATAATCACATAACATCAATAACACAGTTTAAAACAACAACGATAGATTAATTGCTATCATATTTCATATATGATATAATAGGTTTGTGATAACTAAAATGAGAGACATAAATTTTGCTTTGTAAACTATGTACATTCTGGAGAAAACTGCATCAATAGTCGAGCCATATCTTGTGGTTGAATCAAATGGAGAATTATTCATCGTTAAATTAAATTTATTATTTAAAAAATCAATTAATGGTTGAGATTCTTCTGAACGAAAATTGACATTGAAATCTCCAGCAAGAATTAATGGTATCTCGTTGTGATTAGTGTTTAAAAGTTTTGCACCCTCATTAGAAAAAATGAAGTAACTGCTGATGTTCAATTCAATAATATTTAATATGTTTTTATTGGGAGAAATTTAAAGGACGACTATAATCATGTTTGATTCTGTGTGTTCACACAGCGATCAACTGCAATATTACCTACTTGTGTAATTTCATTAGGAATATCCAGTAATATCGTTGGCGCAAGAAACTGCAAAGGAGTCGCATTATGAAGAGTATCTGAACATGAATGATAGACATTAGACAGCTACACCATCTGCTCTTGAGTTTGATCGTTTGTATTGAGTAACGCAGTAATAGTTCTGAATATTAATTCGTTCATTATTAATCCAAGTTTCCGAAAATAACAAAAACGTACAACGTGTAGCACTTTATCTTGCAGATCAGGCAAATGAGCTCGTAAACTTTGGCAGTTAAAGGAAAGCAATGAAATGCGTTCAAACTTATTATCTCACTCAATTTTTCTTCTTGTGTTATTAATCTACAAGTTGAAAGTCTTTGGAATTCAGTTTTTAAGTCCATTAATCCTGCTGGCCGTTTTCTTTCATAATAAAATTTTTGTCGTTGTTTTAGAAATGATGAACAATCCATTAATGCTGGTAACTCGTGATAATGCAACATATAGAAGCTGCTGATTATGTGTTTATTGTATTCATATACAATTTTATCAAAAGTACCACCTTGTGATTTGTGTATTGTGAGTGCACAAGCAGACACTAAGGAAAATGATTTCTTTTGACAAATATGATTTTATTTCTATTCATTGGAATAGATGAAGATTTCCTAAGAATCGGCACAGCTGTCCTACTGATATTAAGAGTTTGAATATGATGTGCAGCTTTCTTCTTATTTTGTTACCTATCTTACCAGGAAATTCAAACCATAAACGTAGAAGTTCATCATTATCGCCACGTTCTATGTACACTAATTTTCCTACACAACCATTAGCTAAGCCATCACTTACATCAATATTAGTTGTTATTATGTAAAATTTATTCAGAACTAAAATTATTTCATACGGCAAACCCCGGTATCAATAACCGATTTTTGTGAAACTGCTGACGAATGTATGATTGTTGATATGTCGCATGGCAACCTACACAAATATCCGTGGCAGTAGATATTATTTTGTCTTCAACGAGATTTAATATAATTTATAGATTCCATGACACATTTATTCTCTAAGAAAAGTCTTATTCCATGAGGACATAATACAGCAACCTCTTCTTTTGTAAAAAAAACGTGATTCAATTAATGCAAGTTCATATAGGGTTTAGCGCTCGACTTACGCATGACATGACGGGAGTGGATACTCGCGACATCAGCGCTTACGGCGTCGTAGTGTTCAACTTCACGTTGGCATTTTCGTTGCATTTGTACGGATTTACACCCGTGTAGCCTAAAGAAATTTTTACACCATATCGCGCCTAAAGAAGTTTTACTTCAAAAAAGTTTATTATTGTAATTTTATTTTTATTTTGTTAAATACAAAAATACTACTGTATCATAGTGAGCCTTCATTTTAATTTTTATTTGTCAAAATATTTTAAAATAAATTTCCAATCATAATTAATTTTCATATTTAATTTCTACAAAACTTGTATTTTAATTATGGACGTTATTGACGAGGTAAATATTATGATTACTTATTGAAATCAATTAATTAAAAATTTGTTAATATTCTTAACAATTTAGAATACTTTAAGTATATGAATAAATATAAAAAACATAATAAATTGTAACTATTTATAAATAATATTAAGAAACTACCGTTTGAAAAAGAATAAACTTTATTTGGCAACAACGTTTACATCAATTTTATTATTATTACACTTCACAATTTATTTTTATATCATCTTAAATAGTATTATTGAAGTATTTTATTAATATTATATTTTATTTTGATAAATATATTTTTATTTTCAAGGATGAGGAAAGTTATGAGGAAGAGAGTAGTGTTGCCAGCGTTGCCAAGCAACAACCCGATGATAATATTCTTGGTTTGTTATTAATTAATGATAATTATTGTTATTAAATAGAATTATTATTACTATTGCCTATATCAAAGATATAAAAGTGAAATAATATTTAATAGGAAAGTGTAGGGATTTGTAAAAAATGTTTTTGAGAGAGTAAGAGAGAGAAAGAAAGAGTAAGAATTTTGAGAGAAAAGAAGAGAGATATAGTAAAAATGTTTTCAACAGAGAGAGATAGTAGTAATGTTTTTTAGAGAGATTTAGCAGTAATATTTTTGAGAGAGAAAGAGAAAGAACATTTTTGAGAGAGAGAAAGAAAGAATGTTTTTGAGGAAAAGGGAGAGAGGGACAGAGTAAACATGTTTTTGAAAAAGAGGAAGTGAAAATCTAAAAAACCGTAAAAAGCAAAAAGTTTACAGTCTTCTTTTAATGTTTTTTAGACAGATTTAGCAGTAATGTTTTTGAGAGAGAAAGAGATAGAATATTTTTGAGAGAGAGAGATAGAGAAAAAGAATGTTTTAGAGGGAGAGGGAGAGAGAGAGGCAAAATAAACAGGTTTTTGAAAATATGAAAGTAAAAATATAAACGTAATTTAAAAAGTCATCAGAAATGTTCGAGAAAAAATAGTATTAAAAATGATATGTTTGGAATAGAGAGAGAGAGACAGTTGCTATACAGAATGTATGTGAGAGAGTCAGGATTTCTAATGAGAAACTCAGGATATAAGTGAAAGAGTGAGGATTTTTAATGAGAAAGTCATGGTGTTAGTTAGAGAGTCAGGATTTCTAATGAGAAAATCAGACTATAAATTAGAAAGTCAGGTTTTCTAATGAAAAAGTCAGAATGTAAGTTATAGAGTTATGATTTCTAATGAAGAAAATTGGATCTAAAGTCAGGTTTTTCTAATGACAAAGTTAGATGATCAGGTTTTTTAATGAAAAAGTCAGGATGTAAGTTAGAGAGTCAGAATTTGTAAAGAGAAAGTCAAGATATAAGTTAAAAGGTCGGGATTTCTAATGATAATGAAGTCAGGGTGTAAGTTAGAGAGTCAGGATTTCTAGTGATAAAGTCAGGGCGTATGTTAGGTGGTCAGGATTTCTAACGAGAAAGTCAGGATATGTGTTAGAAGGTCAAAATTTCTAATGAGAAAGTTAGGCTATGAATTAGAAAGTTAGGATTTTTAATAAAAAGTCAGGATGTTAATTAGAGAATCAGATTTCTAGTAAAAAAGTCAGGGAATAAGTTAGAAAGTTAGGATTTCTAATGAGAACGTCAGGCTATAAATTAGGGAGTCAGGTTTTCTAATGAAAAAGTCAGAATGTAAGTTAGAGAGTTAGAATTTCTAATGAGAAAATAAGGATTTAGGTTAGAGAGTCAGAATTTCTAATAAGAAAGTCTGTGAAAGTTTGAGAGTCGAGATTTTTAATGAGAAAATCAGGCTATAAGTTAGAAAGTTAGGATTTCTAATGAAAAGTCAGGATGTAAATTAGAGAGTAAGAATTTCTAATGAGAAAATCAGGCTATAAGTTAAAAAGTCAAGATTTATAATAAAAAAGTGAGGGTGTAGGTTAGAGGTCGCGATTTTCAATAATAAAGTCAGGATTTATAATAAGAAAGTCAGGGCGTAAGTTAGAGAGTCAGGATAAGTAAAAAGAAAGTCCTAATATATATATATATATATATATATATATATATATATATATATCAGAAAGGCATAATGTACGTGAAAAAGTCAGGATTTTTTATAACATACTTATTCAGGATGTATAACCAAAAGCTAGGACTTGGTATGAGGGAGCTAGGATGCATATATTGTACAGTGATATCCTTTACTATGTTAAAGAACGTCCTGAAATATTATAGGCCTACGAAAAGTGGTTTAATTGTAGAAATTATAAAATTTGAAATAGTACACTATGCTCTTATGTCCTAAGTGCATGATGTTAATAAATACTAATTAAATTAATGAATTTGTAAAACAACTTAAAAATTTGCTAAATCTCAATTAATATGAAAATGCCACTTGCACCTAGGTCTATTTTTATTAACTTCTTGTTGAGTAAGTTATAGTAAATTAAATCAAATTAAAATTATATAAGAAATTCAGGATGTAAATCAGAGTCAAAATTGTGTGCAAAAGAATAAAAATGCCTATGGAAGGATACAACTACAGTACCTGTATAGATCATATATTTCTAATAATATCATATATTTCTATAATATTTCTCTTAATTCAAGCTGCCGAAGGATCCCTGATGCAACTGGAGAAAACCTGGATATCAAAGACCAAATTGCAGGAATATGGAGAAGACATCGACGATGAAGAAGAAGAAGAAGGAGATCAATTCGAGGTCATAGACCAAGGAGGTGAGTTAACCAACAACTGTCCAAAACAAATCCAAAACCATACATATAAATAATTATCTATCTCAACTGCTGTTTTATTTCTTTTCTAGGAGAAGTACCAGAAGAAGCAGGCGATTGGATGTTCTCTGACATGATTGAAACCGGAGGCGGCATTGGTAAGTGGTTACAACATACTTGACTAAAACTTCTAACAACATCTCAAATAATTTATCTTCATATATATAAAAATAAGTCGGGTTTTCCTTCCTGACGATTTAACTCCAAAACGCACGAACCGATTTCGACAATTTTGCATTCGTTGGAAAGGTCTCGGGCTCCGCAAGGTTTATAGATATATAGAAAATTAATGGTGCAAAGCATCGTGCCATTTAGGAAATCATTGTTTTTCACATGGACAGTTACAAGTTGCCTGCTCACGAGTTGGAAAACCATCCGCTTTGTTTGTGTTAACGTCAGACCAAAAAACAAAAAATGTGGTTTACCAAATGGCACTTCAATGAAACGGATAATTTGCGGATTCACTTTCATTTACTTAGAGAAGTTCAACTAAAAAACTATATTTATAATTTCAGATCAATTGACAATGATAAATTTACCTCCGTCCTTGACTCATACTCCGACAGTGACTTCTTCAGTTGAAGATGAATTTGTCGAGAAAAAGGTGGAAGCTAAGATTACTGAAGATGAAGTTCTGGCAAGACTGCCCAAGATGACCAGGGATGAAGCAAAGGTAATAAAATAGTAATGGTAACATAAGAAAAGGTTACAAATCTATCTATTTACTAGCTAATCCGGCAAACGTTGTTAAGTAAGGTATATTCTAAACATTTTCTAGAGAATCAAAAATAGTAATACTTTAAGTGTATAAGGACGTGTTGTTCGAATGCTATATACAATGAAGTATTATCAAAACAATAAACCCCATTAGTGTGTCTATATATTGTCAATACAATCACAGTGGAAGTTTTATACACTTTTTATAGAAAACATGGTATAATCCATTCAATCCAAGTCTTTTTTAGTCTTTAGATATTGATTACGTTTCAAGTTTTTCAGATTCTTTTTGGATTCTAGATTTTGTGTATAAACGTAAATAATAATACTGAGCTCATACAAAATTTTTAAATTTCTAGTAAGAGAGATAGAAAATGAATTAAGTATTTCTTCTTTGACCTGCTTTTTCAAAAGATTCAAATAACATTCGATGAACTGAAGTAAATTTAATAAAAAGTATATATATAGAGCAGGGCGAGGTACAAAGATCCAAATTGACTTTGAGCAAATATAAACTATATTATGGAAACCAAACCAATTACATCACAACAAATGAAACATTTAAACCAAACAATTTTCTGACTACGTTCAGTTAAACCTCCAGCTATTTTATCATTGTATGTGCTTTTTTTATGCCTTTCAAAAATTTGTTATCTAGACCTTTTTACCACATAGGCGGGGTGACTTGGAACGGCCAGGTGGCAAACAGACTTAATGTCTTATTTTAATTCTAAAGGTATTTTACAAAATAATTACATTTTCAACTAATGCTAAAAAACTACCAACGAAAGAAAATACTTTTAGTATGGATTTTCAAAGATTACCGTTTATCTTCCGATAGCAAAGTCATAAGAAACAAGGTTATAGCTGGTTATAAATCTTTTTTCCTCTACTTTTAAATATTGTTGCTAAACAATGCTTAACTTTACTGGTTTTTGACAGATCAGTGGTGGACCTTTTTAACCCCGGACCTTCATAAATTACTATCTATTTTTCGATAAATTCTGGGAAATTATGACTGGAAAAATGTTATTCGACAAAATGTCAATTTGATCGAACCAAATTTAGGTCCTGAATTTAAATAACATTAATAAAATATAATATAACCTAAAAAATGTTTTATAAATAATAAGTATATAATTGTACAAATGAGATTTTTCAGAGCACCGTGTTTGAGAAAAATATGATTTGCAAAAAAAAGAGTGCTACAACGCCAAAAAGTGCATTTTCATATTAACATTTCAAAAAAGATGATATTTTGAGTTTCTAGTAACACTTACAATCCGTTTAATAACGTTTTTGTGTATAAATAAAACTACAGACAAAATAACTTACTACAATTTAATCATAATTAAATAATATTCACGTAAAACATCCTATTAAACGTAATTGAACATCATCTGTCAAAAACTTTTGACATTTGACGTATTAGCCTCCGCCCATTGTTTTGTTCAAATTACGCTTCTACAAAACATTTCAAATTAAAAATGTAAAGTTTTTACGCAATTTTGAAATAATATCTCACCTTTCCGACCATCTCTGGATTGGCACGAATTTTTCAAGACTAAGACTGGCCAAATCGGTTCAGCCGTTTTCGAGTTTTAGCGGATCATGTGAAGTTTATATTTTCATCAAAAAATCCGATTCGCTAATTTTATGTTTTCTCGACGTTTCAAACCATTCTGAATCGAATGAGACCAAATTTGGAAAAAGTATGTGTGTGTTTGTGTGTGTGAACAGATTTTTTTGTCGTAAATCGACGTTTTCTCAAAAGCGGCTGAACCGATTTCAAAAATTTAAAAGCCATTCGATGTATCTCGATGAGGACTATTATTTGTCAGTTTTGTGCGACGATCTGCCAAGCCGTTTCTTTATAAATAGCAGAAAAGTAAAAAAAAATTTCGTCTACGTTTTAGCCCGCAATTCTGAATCGATTTTGAAAAATCAAGAACTGTTCGAAAGATATTAGTTGGGAATGATACTGATTAGTTTTAGGTGAAAATCTACCGAGTCGTTTTCTTGTAATTAACTGTTGAAACAAAAATTGAAGCCGATGTTTATGGAACTTTTTTTGGCGATATATATATCATAGTCTTATAGAACTGACAAGTAGTTTAATTCTAAAAATTCATCAAAGTTTGAGAAAATGAGTAGTTTTTTGACGTGTGTTAAAATTAAAAATAGACGACTTACTTGGTATAACGATAGAGTTCTTGGTTTTAATGAACATACTGAGCCATCAAAGTCCTATGGAAACTGGTTCATTTATAATAATTGCTGATTTTTGAAAATTTGCTTTAAAAAAATACTCCGAGTTAACGTGTTCGTTCGTGTTCAATTATGTGTAATAAATCCACTCGGAATACTTTTAATCACTCATAAATTAATTTATTTTTTATTGGCTAAGTCGACTATTCACACATATCGGGAAGTTCATGTAACTTGCCTCAAGGCTAAATACCAAACCAACTAGTTATATATAAGATTCGTTTATTTACCAGATCGCGATACGAGAAGCAATGATCGAAAGACAACGCCTAAAGACCAAGAACGCCCTCCTGCAAGCACTTATGGTCAGAGCTTTAGCAAAACGAGAGGTAATAATCAACAAAGAAAAATTTTAATTCCAACCAACATCTCTCACAATTTTTCTTCCTCCAGCCTCCTCTAAAAGATATAGCCACCGAGCCCGGCATATGTCCTCGTTCCGACAACGTGAGCCTCTCCTTCGACTTGATCGCATCGCCTCCGATGATTTCGCGTTCGTCTATGATCGGATCGCGTCGATCGGCTCTAGAGGAGCAGCAAGGGATTTCCCCGGCTGCCGAAACGGCCGCCAAGTGCAGGAAGTACGCTGAAAAGTTGCGCCAGTACGCCGAGGAGAGGAAGGACGAGATAGAGAAGAGACAGTACATGCAGGTAGTAATAATAAATAGTAAATGGCATCGTGCCTTAAGGAAAGTTGCTGGAACTTCCCGCACTGAAAACTAAACTAGTGGGGTGTATGGCATCGTGTCTTAAGGCAAATTGCTCGAACTTCCCGTACCGTAACGAAATGTTCGAGGAATATTGAATGTTTTCAAATAGATTATTATAAATATTGTAACATTGTCTAATATTTATAAGAATTATATAAACTGAATTGCAAAGTTGAAATTCTTTGTTTAAAGTATATTAGAACTACAATCAGAATTAAAAATAAAATCTGAATTATTTTCGATATACAAAAAAATTTAAAAAAAAAGAAAGTTGAAACCAATTTTTTTTTACCAAAATCAATTATTGTGTTAAGACAAACAGAAAGTTCTTTGAATCATTTAAATCGGACGCTTACTTCTCTCAAAAACTACCATTTTTTACATATTTAGCTCCGTATCTTCGAAATGGCTGGGTCTGCCTTTGCCAAAAACTAATAAACACTTCTCCCAATCATTACTAATTGAATGTTTTTTAGATCATTCAAATCGGATGCTCCGTTCTCTCAAAAACTCGATTTCTATTTTCTGCCCTCTTTGCTCCGTATCTCCGAAACGGCTGGACCTGCCTTTGCCAAAAACTAATCAGCTCTTCTCCCGATCAATAAGAATCGAATGTTTTTTGAACCATTCAAATCGGTTGATCCGTGCGTCCGAAAAATTGTATCCATACATACATACACACACACATAGATTTTTTCTGAGGTATGCCAAAATGTTCAGAAACCTCCAAAACGTCGAGAAATGTAAAAATTTTCAATTTCGATTTTCGGCCCATTACAATAACTTACCCTACGAAAATCGAAAATGAAATTTTTTTGCATTTCTCGACGTTTTCAAGGTTTCTGAACATTTTGGCATAGCTCACAAAAATGGATGTATGTGTGTATGTGTGTGTGTGTGGTGTTTTGTATGTCCGCATTTTTTCGTCCACGTTTTCGGGCGCACGGATCAACCGATTTGAATGGTTTAAAAAACTGACAGGTCCCGCCATTTCGAAGATAAAGAGCAAAATGTGCAAAAAATGGCAGTTTTTTCAATTTGAAAAATGTGAAAATGCCGCCAATCTAAGCACAGTATAAGTGAAAAAGTGAGAATTATTTGCAAATCCATTTAGACTGTGACTATACGGCAGCACTTTTTCAATTTTGTGCAAATTAGGCAACTATTTTTTTTTTTTGGAAATTGAATTCGAAATGTAACGACGATTGTTAATGTTCTGGAGATAAATTGATTTATGATTTACATTTGATTTGCTCAGATATAACAAGATAGCCAAAATAATGAAAGCTACAGTATTTGTAATAATAAATTCTCAAATATTTCATTACGGTACGGAAAGTTCCAGCAATTTGCCTTAAGGCGCGATGCCATACACCACTAGTTTACTTTTTTTTATTAGATCTCTGGAGACACTAGACATAAAAAAATTTACCAGTTGTTCATTTCGTCAATATAAGTAATATGTTTTTTGAAATACCATTTTTAGCACTATTTGCCCCGTTTCTTCGGAACGGCTAGACCTGCCTTTGCCAATAACTAATCAGCACGTCTCCTTATCAATACGAATCAAAAGTTTTGTATATTATTCATATAAATCGGTTGACCCGTGTTCCCGAAATCGTTGACAAAAATTTGTATCCGTACACACACATATACATCCATTTTTCCTAAGGTATGCCAAAAAGTTCAGAAACCTTTGAAACGTAAAGATATATAAAAATTTTCATTTTCGATTTTTTTGCGAATACTATAACTTACCCCACGGGAAATTAATAACTACAAATTATAAAAAAGATGCTAATTGAAACTATAGTATACTGATTGATCATTCAATTAGGAACGTCTGATGACCCTGCGTGAAGCCAAGACAAGGAACGGCGCCTTCTGCGAAGAACTCATGCAGCAATTTGCTGCCAGACTTCGGGAAATCGGCACAGGTCTCAAGAGCTCCAGAACTGGAAACATCATGCCGGAGAAGGTAATAAATTACCAATTCAAGCTACCACATATCAGTCTCTATTACCATGTGGTTTTCTACCTTTTCCAGTACCTGGTTCGTCTTCTGGACAGACAGATGCGTTCCTGGAGAGCTTTGGCAAATGAGCGAGTAAGTTACATCCGAACCAGAGATCGCACTAGGGAAATGGAGACGAAGGTCGCTAATCGGGAAATTATTTCCGAAGGACTGACTGTCAGTCTTTATGAAACGATGACGCTTGCCAAGATATCCTTCACGGATAAGATTGAAGGTAACTAAAAAAAACTGGCAAACAGAAAAATTGTTTTTATAATTAACTTCCCGTAGGGCAAGTTATAGTAATCGCAAAAAAATCGAAAATGAAAATTTTTATATATCTTTACGTTTCAGAGGTTTCTGAACATTTTGGCATACCTTAGAAAAAATGCATGTATGTGTGTGTGTGTGTGTATGTATGTATGTATGTATGTATGTGCGTGTGTGTATGTATGTGCGGATACAAATTTTCGTCGACGATTTCGGGAACACGGATCAACCGATTTGAATAATTCAAAAAGCATTCGATTCGTATTGATAAGGAGACGTGCTGATTAGTTTTTGGCAAAGGCAGGTCCAGCCGTTCCAAAGATACGGGGCAAAAAGTGCCGAAAACGGTAACTCAGTTTTTAAGAGAACGGAGCGTCCGATTTTAATAATTCAAAAAACATTTTACTTGTATTGACAAGATGGAGAACTGTTCAAATTTTTATGAAGGCAGGTCTAGCGGTTTCGGAGATCTAATGATAAAAGTAAAAAAAAATGCCATTTGGCGGTCAAAAATGATCATTAGACATATGCACATCAAATTATTAGATATTTTATAAAGATTTTAACAATAAGTATAACTTTTTTTTTACATTTTTATGGGTTCCGTACCAATGCTTATCCGTTAGACGGCGGCGCGGCAGTTGCGCGCTTTGACATTTTGTCTCTATGCAGATAAAGCAGTACGATTGCTTTGAAAAACAGTTCAGAATTTCCAAAGTATGTCAAAATGAAAAAAACACATTTTTTTTTCAAAAAAATTTTGTTTTCAAAAAAAAAATTTTTTTTTCAAAAAAAGTAATTTTTTGTCAAATTTTTAGTTTCTCTCTAATTTTTTCGAAGTAAAATTTTTTCAGAAATGTTTTTAAAAAAATAATTTTTGGTACGGGAAGTTCCAGCAATTTGCCTTAAGGCACGATGCCTTAATTGCCTTAAGACAGAATTCCACTTACAGCTAGTTTTTTTTATTATTTAAGAACGTGACGAGGAATTGTCCCGAATGCGTGACAAATGTCGTGGTGACATGGTGAAGGCGGCCCACGTGCGGGAAAAGGCGGCGGCGGTCGCCGCAGACACCGCCACCGCCAGGGAGGAATTGACTGAGCTGAAGGCGACATTCCAAAGCGTAAATAATATACATACATATATTATATACTAGCTGACCCGGCAAACGTTGTTTTGCTAAGTAAGGTATATTTTAAACAATTTCTACAGAATCAAAAATATTAATACTTCAAGTGTATAAGGATATGTTGATTGAATGCTATATACAATGATATATTATAAAAACAATAAACCCCATTAGTTTGTCTATATTTTGTCAATACAATCAAACTGGAAGTTTTATACACTTTCTATAAAAAACATGCAATAATCCAATCCAAGTCTTTCTTGGTCTTTCGACTTATTGATTACGTTTCAAGTTTTTCAGATTCTTTTTGGATTCTGGATTTTGTGTATAATTGTAAATAACACTACTGAGCTTTTACAAAATTTTCAAATTTTTGCGAGGAGAGATAGAAAATGAATTAAGCATTTCTTCTTTGACCTGCATTTTGAAAAGTTTCAAGTAACATTCGATGAATTAAAGTAATTTTAATAAAAAGTATATATGTAGAGCACAAAGCGAGGCACAAAGGTCCAATTTGACTTTGATCAAATATAAACTATATTGTGAAAACCAAACCAATTACATCATAACAAATAACACATTTCAAACGAACAATTATCTGACTACATTCATAAAACTGCCAGCTACTTCATCATTGTAGAAATGTGCTTTTTTAATGTCTTTCAAAAATTTGTTATCTAGATCTTTTACCCCATATACAGGGTAACTTGGAATGGCCAGATGGCAAACAGGTTTAATGTCTTATTTTAATTTTAAAGGTATTTTACAAAATAATTACACTTTTAACTAATGCTAAAAAACTACCAACGGAAGAAAATACTTTTATTATGGACTTTCAAATATCACCGTTTATCTCCAGATAGCAAAGTCATAAGAATCAAGGTTATAGCTGGTTATACATTTTTTTCCCTCTACTTTCAAATATTGTTGTTAAACAATGCTTAACTTTACTGGTTTTTGACACATTGGTTGTGGACCTTTTTAACTCCGAACCTTCATATATTACTATTTATTTTTCGATAAATTCTGGGAAATTATAACTGGAAAAATGTTATTCGACAAAATGTCCCTTTGATCGATGCCAAATTTAGGTTCTGAATTTAACTAACATAAATAAAAAATAATATAACCTAGAAAATGTTTTATAAATGCCAATGAATATATAATTATACAAATGAGATCTTTTAGAGCACCAAAGAGTGCTACAACGCCAAAAAGTGCATTTTCATACTAACATTTTAAAAAAGTTGATATTTTGAGTTTCTAGTAACACTTGCGGCCCGTTTAATAACGTTTTTGTGTATAAATAAAACTACAAACAAAACTACTTACTACAATTTAATCATAATTAAATAATATTCACGTAAAACATCCTATTAAACGTAATTGAACATCATCTGTCAAAAACGTTTGACATTTGACGTATTAGCCACCGTCCATAGTTTTATTCAAATTACGCTTCTACAAAAATTTTCAAATTAAAAATGTAAAGTTTCTACACAATTTTGAAATAATATCTCACCTTTCCGACCATCTCTGGATCGGCACGAATTTTTCAAGACTAAGACTGGCCAAATCGGTTTAGCCGTTTTCGAGTTCTACCGAATCATTTTATCGACAGCTCCATTTTTATATATAAGATATATAATCATATGTATGTTTTATGATTTTTATTATCTAGTTGCGTGGGCAAGTTGCTCGTCTCAGACAAAAACGTGGAGCAATCCGTCTGGAGATTGAACACACAAAAGATACACATGGACTCCTCCTCAAACCAGCACTTTTATTACAAGATTATAAACTCAGCATGACAAAGGTCTGTTAATTCTTAGATACTAGTATTTATCATTCGATATCATTATTATTTAGAATATCCTGATGGTTGATCTGTATTTTTATTCCATAAACCAAATGCTACTATTATACATCAAGTGGGTCGGAGCGTAAATTTAGCTTCTTCTAGAGTAGATCACAAATAATAATCAAATTATAAAACTATACATTGGCGGTTTTGATAGAACACCTTTTGCTATCTTTTTGGATATACCAAAGTTACAGCTCTTAAAATTTTTGGTTCTTGTCGGAGACAAACTAGATTGATGTAATTTTTTTTAGTTTTACTATATTTTTAAATTTCAGGTCGACCAAATGAAAGTTAAGCTGGAGCAATTGAAAACCGAATATGCACAAATTCGTATGAAGTTACAACTAATTCGATCGATGCAGATGGCTAAAGCTTCAAAATCTATGACGAGACTACCAATGTAATTATATATAATATATTATATGAATATATATATATATATATATATATATATATTTCAATTTCAGTTCCCAGAAATCAGATTCAACACTGCCCTCGATACATCATTCACCAATTCGTAGAAGAGATTAAAAGTCAACAAACATTATACATATTTGATTTAAAATATTTTAGTAGTAAATATATATATGATATTACAACACAAGTCTGTTTAATTTAAACATTTTTATTATGAAATATTATATAAAATCTATACATATTTATAAAAGTAACAATATAATTTCTCATCTTGCTTGCTCATTTTATTTCCTATAATTTTAGTTTTTTTTTATAATTTTAGTTCCTTATTTAAAATATCAAAAAGTAGAAAGCATATTATCATTTAAATATAATTTAATTTCAAATTTAGATGTTTAATATCTTTACTAGTAATGATTTTCCTACACATTGGACATTCTTTCAAATTCATAAAAGATGACAAGATGCACGCTTTGTGAAACATGTGACCACATTTTGTAACTACCGAACAATCATAGTCGATCAAGTTCTCAAGACAAATTGCACATTTTTCCTTTCGACGTAATTCACATAAGCTTAAAAAAACAATATAATTAAATAATAGTAAAGATAATGAACTATTATTTAAAATTCAAAACTTACTAATCGATCCATAAGTTTTCAAAACAAGCTTTGTATAGAAGTTCAAGTCTATTATTTCCTGAGCGGATGCTTAGGTCTTCGAGTTCAATATGAGTTTTGCAAATTGGGCATTGTTTACAAGCATGTTTATTATGTAATTTTATGAATAAGCAGTTTGGATGAAAAGAATGATTGCATTTTCGTATTATCACTTTTGTTAAAACATGGTATGCATCCCGCTTTATTACTGATGAACAAACAAAGCATTTTCTCCTAGGGCGTCTTTTCCTTTCAAATCTAATGATTCACATATTATATATATATATATATATATATATATATATATATATATATAGGATACATAATATACATAAATTAACTTAAAAAACTTATATAGTTATTACTCAAAATATTCTCTGACAAGATCCTCGTCCACAAGAAATTTATACCCGGGTGGATACAACACATCACGGATTGGAGGAATACTTTCCTCTTTTACACTTTTAAAAAATAGATGATATGAACAATAAACAATTATTACAGCATAAATTATTATCAAAACATAAGGCATTGTTAAATAAACATAAAAAATTTAATCAAATTCAAAAAAAACAAAAAAGAAGTTATCACATTTGTTTTTGACATCTGTTGATTGGAAAACAAATGTATATTTTATGAAATTATTAAAATATGAAATTTAGACATGGTGATAGCAAGCTAGTTGATAATTAAATTAATAATATTATTATAATAAAATCATATATTTTAATTAATAGATATAATTAAGAACTTTGTATATTTGGTTTTTAAACTATTTTTCTAGGTTATGTTTGTCTTAAATGTCATTTTCAAATTTTGACATTTGGTTTGTTCCAACGGACACAAACAGAAAGTGGTCTGTTCGGACTGATCATTTTTATTAAAACTCAATTTTTATCAAAATGTTTACAGACTGCAAATTATAAAACAATTATTATAGAATTTAAATAAACATTCTTCGGGTACACATCTTTTGAATAAATGTAGTATAGTCGAGTCAAAAAAGTTCAGTCTATTGCTTTCTGTGCATTTAATATATTTTAAACATAAATATATGTGATATTACAATACAATTAAAACAGTTTTTTTTAATACAAAAAAATATATTATAAAATAAGCATTATATAAAAATGTAGTTTATAAAAATAAGATGCAAGAGACTGCACACAATTATCACTTTTTATCTTTCAGTCACTTACATTAGAGTATGTTTGTTATAATATATGAATTTATTACTTTGCTTAAGATATCAAGAAGTAGAAGGAGAATTAAGATCTAGATCTTTAATATCATTAAAAGTGATAATTTCCATACACATCGGACATTTGTTCAATCTTGTTAAAGATTTCCAGATGCATTTTCCATGGAACATATGACCACATTTTGTGATTCTCGAACAATCACTTTTGATCAAGCCATCAAGACAGATTGCACAACTTTCCTTTCGACGTAACTTATGTATGCTTAAAAACAAGAATAATATTAGATAAAAATAAAGCATTAGTATTAGATTTCAAGACTTACTCTTGTTTCCAAATAGTGACTAGAAACTTTTTGATCTTTTCTGCACGTTTTTCAAAGACTGATTTAATGATGAGGTCTTCGAATTCAATATGAGCTTTGCAAGTTGGGCACTGTTTACGAGCATAATTACTGAGTATATGCTGGTAAAAGCATATTGAATGAAAAACGTGATTGCATTTTTTAATTGTTACATTTATTTCATCTTGACCTTCGAAAAGTAAACAAGAGCTACATTGTTTAAAATATCTTTCCTGGATTTTCCTATGACAGCAATGCATAATTTATATATGTATATTTATATGTATATATAGTAATATGATATTTAGTACCTTTGTTCAAACTCCCGTAAAAGTCTAATAATTTCATACATTTCCCTGTGATAATGATGAAAAAATTTTATATACTAAATATATATATATATATATATATATATATATATATATATATATATATATTATTGTACCTTTGACTTTCCTGCCGTGCATTCAAAGCACATCTTCTTTGATAATGGATTGCCCTATGATAATAATACATAAGTTATATATATATATATATATATATATATATATTATATATAAAATTATATAAATATAGGTTGTCAAATATCTCCCTTCCGCCTTTTTGTATTATAAACCAAGAGCAAAAAAGCGGAAAGGAGATATTTGACAACCTAATATATAAATATATAAATAGAATATAAATATAAATATATATATAAAGATATATAATATAAATATAAATATAATATATAAATATATAAATATAAATATATAAATATAAATATATAAATATAAATATAAGGTTGTCAAATATCTCCCTTCCGCCTTTTTGTATTATAAACCAAGAGCAAAAAAGCGGAAGGGAGATATTTGACAACCTATTATTAAAAATTATTACCATTCCCCCTCGAGCTGCTAAGAATAATCTTCCTTTTTAAAATGAATAATAATAATAAAGCAACTAATCCTGCAGCACATATCAAAACTAAGGTCATATTGAAAAAAATAAAATAAAAAATTTAAATTAAGTTTCTTTCGAACACTTTTCCACATCTGTTTATACGAACAGTCACTAGTTTTTAAACATGTATATTTTATAAAATTTAGGAAAAGACATAATGCAGTTATAGCATTAACACTTAATTAAAAAGCATGCGTTACTTGTTTTCTCGAGAAAGTCATTTTTCGTTACAAGGTTATGTTTTCTTTTAAGTGTCATGTCAAACTTTGACATTTGGTTTGCTTCAACGGACACAAACGGAAAGTGGTCTGTTCCGACTGATCATTTTATCACATTTTTATAAATTGCTAAATAACTAGTTGGTTTGGTATTTTGCCTTGAGGAAAGTTACATGAACTTCCCGATATGATTAAATAATCGACTTAATCAATAAAAAATAAATTAACATATGATCCATTAAAAGTATCCGAGTGGATTTATTACACCTAATTGAAAACGAACAAACGCGTTAACTAACTCAGAGTATTTTCTAAAAGCAAAATTTCAAAGATTAATAAATTTTATAATTTAACCAGTTTCCTTAGGACTTTACTGGTTTATTATATTCATTAAGATCAAGTACTCTGTCGTTATACCGAGTAATTCGTCTAATTTTAATTTTAACAAACGTCAAAAAAACTACTCATTTTCTTAAAAATTGGTGATTTTTTTAAAATAAACTACTTGTCGTAAGGGCGTAATATTTCAATAAGTTGTATAAGACCGTGATATATATCGCCAAAAAAAGTTCCATAAAAATCGGCTTAAAAATTTATTTTAAACAGTTAATTACAAGAAAACGGCTCGGTAGATTTTTACCTAAAACTAATCAGTACCATTCCCAACTAATATCTTTCGAACAGTTTTGATTTTTTAAAATCGATTCGGCAGTTTGAGCTTAAATGTGGACGAAGAGTTTAAAACTTTTTTTCAAATTACAAAAAAAACGGTTTGGCAGATCGTCTCACATAACTGACAAACAATAGTCCTCATTGAGATACATCAAATGGCTTTTAAATTTCTGAAATCGGTTCAGGCGTTTTTGAGAAAACGTCGATCAAAGGTCTAATTTTGACAAATGCCAAAAGAAAGATACTAATTTTTGCAAACTTTGATGAATTTTTAAAGCTAAACGACTTGTTATAGGGCGGTAATATTTTAGTATGATCTAGAAGACTATGGTATCTACCGTCAAAAATATAATAATAATAATCGTCGAATTTTTTTTTAAAAAAACTTTATTACAAGAAAACGGCCCGGCCGATCTTTACCAAAAACTAATCAGCACGGTTCCCAACCAATATATTTCGAACGGTGTTTGAATTTTCAAAATCGATTAAGAATTGCGGGCTAAAACGTGGACGAAATTTTTTTCACTTTTCTGCAATTTACAAAGAAACGGCTCGGCCGATTGTCAACCGTTTTAATGTAAATAGTTGCATTATTAATGTTTCTAACATTTCAGAAGTGGGATTCGAACCCACGAGGTTAATGTAAATAGTTGCATAATTAATGTTTTTAACAATATGTATAATAAATCCATGATCATGAATAAGAAAAATGTAATGTCTACATTATTATTGCCTAAAAGTAGCTGAGATGTGCCCGAAATTAAAATAATATAAAATGCAGTATATGTATGGCAGATTGAATGATACACATATGAACAAGATTTGATAAATTAATTCACTTAAAATATGAAATTAAGTAATAATCAAGACCGGTAAATTTTCAATAAAGTTTTTTTTTGCAATATTATTCAAGAAATATATAATTTCTATGCATCCTTTACTAATCTTTGCATAATATTTTTAAAATACGTTAAGAATTTCACATTACAACAACAAATAGGAAAGTAAAGATGAATACATACAATTCTGCCCTTACGATATCAATTTGGAGAAGTTTAAGATGCAATTTAGGATATTTTAAATAATAAAAAAATTAAATTGAAATAATCCAACATAAAGTACCAGTGCTATGTTATGGTTATGTTTAATAATGAAAGACTAGATTTTTTTGCTCTCTATGATTTGCTTAATAGAATAAATTGCATAAAATGCCAAAAATAAGTAAGTAAAATGTTTCAAAAGCCAAATATTAATTAATGATAATGAATTGAATAATAAACTGTTAAAACATGTAAAATGATAGGGGTGGAAGCGCTGAGAACCTCAGGAGCGTCCCTGGTAATAATGTATATTAAATTATTTTAAGAAAAAATGTAATTTAAATATTATAAATTTAAAAAAAATATTATTTTTAGGTGAACGGTAAATATTAGTATAGGATATTAACAAATTGTAGACATATATATGGGTACAGGACAATGTCTGTCGGGTCATCTAGTCATTGCAATAGAGTTATTTTTCTAATATAAAAAAATAATTTATTCTTCTAATTTAAAAAAATAATAAGGATTATTATATAAAATAAACGGTAACATAAAGATTATTTTAAAAACATAATAGTATAAATACTATTGCTTAGCATTTCAGTCACTTATATATATAAATATATTTGTTATAAAATCTGATGTTAGTTTCACATTTAAAAAAGTATATATATATAATATATATATATATATAATATTAAAATACAATTTAATTTTCTAAATATATAAAATAAATATATAAAACTAAATATATAAAAATATATAAAATAAAGATTATTTTAAAGACTTAATAACTAATATTTATAAAAATAACAATATAATATATTTCTTTCATTTCATAGTCACATTTTATATTAACTTATTTAATAAAATCTAATATTAGTTCCTCATTTAAAATATCAAAAAGTAGAAAACCTATTCAGTATCATTTAAATATATTTTAGTCTTAAATTTAGATCTTTAATATCTCTACCAATAATGATTTTCCTACACATTGGACACTTTTTTGAATCCATATAAGATAACCAGATGCACATGGTGTGATACATGTGACCACATTTTGTAATTATCGAACAATCACTGTCGATCATGCTCTCAAGACAAATTGCACAGTTTTCCTTTTGACGTAATTCACATAAGCTTAAAAAAAATACATTAAATAACCGTAAAGATAATGAACTATTATTTAAATTTCAAAACTTACTAATCGATCCATAAGATTTCAAAACGAGTTTTGAACAGACGTTCAAGTCTTTCACTTTCTGAGCGAATGATTATGTCTTCGAGTTCAATATGAGTTTTGCAAATTGGACATTGTTTACAAGCATGTTTATTGCGCAGTTTCATGAATAAGCATTTTGGGTGAAAGGAATGATTGCATTTTCGTATTATCACTTTTGATAAAATATTGTAAGCATCTCGCTTTATCATTGTTAAACAAGCATAGCATAGTCTCCTAGTGCGTCTTTCCCTGAGAAGCCTAATGATTCATATATATATATATATATATATATATATATATATACCCATACACACAATGTGTGTGTATGTATATATAAATACAACTGGAGTTTGTATGCTTATTCTAACAGCTGTTTTTTAAAACTTGCATATAAATATTAATAGAATATAAAATATGTTATATACAGTTTATTACCTCTCTTCTTCTAATATTCTATTAAGAAGATCCTCATCTAGGACAAATTTATAACCGGGTGGATACACATGGATTGGAGGAAGACTTTCACTTTTAAAAAATAAATAATATATACAAAAAGCAATGAATCCAGCACCAAATATAAACATAGGGCATATTTGAATAAACAACAAACAAATTTAATCATAAATTTAATCAAAATTAAAAATAATTAAGTTTTCTCAACTTGTGTTCGACATCTGTTGATTCCAACAAATGTAAATTTTATGAAATTGATAAACATATGAATTTAGTTATGGCTTTAGCAAGTTAGTTAATAATT